TCCGGAATCAAGCATCACTTGTAGAGTATCGGTAATTGTGTTTGATGATCTGAAGCCGAGTCATAGACCCTCAGCAGTGTCTCAACTATATCATATACACTAATCGGATTACAATTCCGGAATCAAGTATCACGGCTGGAGTATCGGTAATTCTGTTTGATAGTCTGGAGCCGAGTCATAGACCCTCAGCATTGTCTCAACTATATCATATACACTAATCGGGTTGCAATTCCGGAATCAAGTATTACTGCTAGAGTATCGGTAATTGTGTTTGGTGATCTGGAGCCGAGTCATAGACCCTCAGCAGTGTCTCAACTATATCATATACACTTATGGGGTTGCAATTCCGGAATCAAGTATCACTGCTAGAGTATCGGTAATTGTGTTTGATAGTCTGGAGCCGAGTCATAGACCCTCAGCAGTATCTCAATTATATCATATACACTTATCGGGTTGCAATTCGGGAATCAAGTATCACTGCTAGAGTATCGGTAATTGTGTCTGATGATCTGAAGCCGAGTCATAGATCTTCAGCAGTACCTCAACTATATCATATACACAAATCGGGTTGCAATTCCGGAATCAAGCATCACTTGTAGAGTATCGGTAATTGTGTTTGATGATCTGAAGCCGAGTCATAGACCGTCAGCAGTGTCTCAACTATATCATATACACTAATCGGATTACAATTCCGGAATCAAGTATCACGGCTGGAGTATCGGTGATTCTGTTTGATGATCTGGAGCCGAGTCATAGACCCTCATCAGTGTCTCAACTATATCATATACACTTGTCGGGTTGCAATTCCGGAATCCAGTATCACTGCTAGAGTATCGGTAATTGTGTTTGATAGTGTGGAGCCGAGTCATAGACCCTCAGCAGTGTCTCAACTATATCATATACACTTATCGGGTTGCAATTCCGGAATCAAGTATCACTGTTAGAGTATCGGTAATTGTGTTTGGTGATCTGGAGCCGAGTCATAGACCCTCAGCAGTGTCTCAACTATATCATATACACTTATCGGGTTGCAATTCCGGAATCCAGTATCACTGGTAGAGTATCGGTAACTGTGTTTGATAGTCTGGAGCCGAGTCATAGACCCTCAGCAGTGTCTCAACTATATCATATACACTAATCGGGTTGCAATTCCGGAATCAAGTATTACTGCTAGAGTATCGGCAATTGTGTTTGGTGATCTGGAGCCGAGTCATAGACCCTCAGCAGTGTCTCAACTATATCATATACACTTGTCGGGTTGCAATTCCGGAATCCAGTATCACTGCTAGAGTATCGGTAATTGTGTTTGATAGTCTGGAGCCGAGTCATAGACCCTCAGCAGTGTCTCAACTATATCATATACACTTATGGGGTTGCAATTCGGGAATCAAGTATCACTGTTAGAGTATCGGTAATTGTGTTTGGTGATCTGGAGCCGAGTCATAGACCCTCAGCAGTACCTCAACTATATCATATACACTAATCGGGTTGCAATTCCGGAATCAAGTATCACTGTTAGAGTATCGATAATTGTGTTTGGTGATCTGGAGCCGAGTCATAGACCCTCAGCAGTGTCTCAACTATATCATATACACTTATCGGGTTGCAATTCGGGAATCAAGTATCACTGCTAGAGTATCGGTAATTGTGTTTGATGATCTGAAGCCGAGTAGTACCTCAACTATATCATATACACAAATCGGGTTGCAATTCCGGAATCAAGCATCACTTGTAGAGTATCGGTAATTGTGTTTGATGATCTGAAGCCGAGTCATAGACCCTCAGCAGTGTCTCAACTATATCATATACACTAATCGGATTACAATTCCGGAATCAAGTATCACGGCTGGAGTATCGGTAATTCTGTTTGATAGTCTGGAGCCGAGTCATAGACCCTCAGCATTGTCTCAACTATATCATATACACTAATCGGGTTGCAATTCCGGAATCAAGTATTACTGCTAGAGTATCGCTAATTGTGTTTGGTGATCTGGAGCCGAGTCATAGACCCTCAGCAGTGTCTCAACTATATCATATACACTAATCGGGTTACAATTCCGGAATCAAGTATCACGGCTGGAGTATCGGTAATTCTGTTTGATAGTCTGGAGCCGAGTCATAGACCCTCAGCATTGTCTCAACTATATCATATACACTAATCGGGTTGCAATTCCGGAATCAAGTATCACGGCTAGAGTATCGATAATTGTGTTTGGTTATCTGAAGCCGAGCTATAGATCCACCGCAGTGTCTCAACTATAGCATATACATTTATCTGGTTACCAGTGCGGTGGATCTATGAACCGGATTCAATGAACGATGAATGAATGATTCGATGAACTGAGCATAACCGAAAAAAATCAACCGTGAGGACGCGATAGGCAAGTAGCCAGCGTTTCAATAATTCAAGTTGCGCAGGCCCAACGGTCTGAACGTGGGCACTTTCCGGGCTGAACGTGGGCAAACCCCTAGGAGGTTAGTTAGGAGGGTTCTACGCGGGCCTTCGGCCCGCTTTTTTCTACAGACTGTGCAGGCTATTCCTCCGAGACCCGGCCCTAGTTGGCCCTGCCTGGAATAGGTCGCGCTGTCTCTCGTGCTGCACATACCTCGACCATGGCCGTAGGAAGCGGCTCTTGCAAAGTGCACAACATACTATTGAGAAAAAGCAAGAACGCAAGATTCAAAAACCGTTTCTCCCACAACTTATTGGGCT